CTCAGATGACTGTCATTTTAGTCCCATCTTAAGTGATACATTTTGGGGAAGCAGCCCCTTTCAGTCATTTTTAAAGTAGTCCCTGAATTATTTTATGGTGGCTATTACCTTTATACCATCTACCTCTTTTATAAAGTATTTTGTTATACGATGTGACTATTTTACTATCGTAATTATCGTCTTTAGAGTATGTTACTATTTGGTGTGTTATTTTTATTTGCTTATTGTGTTTTCCCCAAATATGTGAAATTCACAGGCAGAATAACCTTGAACCCTGCCTGCATAGTTGACACTAAATATTTTATCAAATGAAAACCCACTTCAGCTGAGACTTTCAGTGGATGCCCTACGAGGAGTATTTTTATAAACATATTCAAATGATGATGTTAACCAGCTTGGAATATTTAGCACATTAGTCCGGGCTTAGTGCTTTATACTGTTGCAGTGAGTAAAAGCAAATGGATTCTGCTACTCAGGTTAAAATATCCTTCCATTCAGCTTGGTAGGCATCACAAGAATTCTCCAAGCCAGAATATTACTAGTCACCCATGTGTGGATCATTAGAGATTGCTTCATTCTCTTCTGGTGTTTATATACTATGTTATTAAAGTTACTTAAAAAAATGATCCTTTCTGAAAACCAGATTTCCATACCTTTGGAGAAAATGTTAAAAAATTCACAAGGTCTAATTCTATTTGGCTATACATCTTTCATTTCATCTCATAACATCTTATAAATTTTATTCACACTGTCAGAAGTTTGAAGGTATGTTTCATTATGAAGAAAGTGTAAAGTCAAAATTTAATACAGCCTTTCCCTGAATTCCGTGGGTGTCCAAGTAAATACATTTTCCTTAAAGTAAATGCTGATAACCCTCTCTATCCAGAAAGCCAAAGACTTCCTTAGTATTAAATAACTGCGTTTTAGAATTTATTTGACTGTAATGAGTGCTTTGTAAACATTTGTACAAATACTTTTTAGTGTGATATAGAATTGCAAAACTAAGATGAAATGGGTCCTAACTACTTTAAGTAGCTAGGAAGAGTATATAGAACCTTAAAAACCAATTAACTGTAAAAAAAAAGGGGGGGGCTTTTGAGGATGTCAAATTTATATTGAGGATGTAGATAGGATTAATGCAGAAAAAACATCTAGTAGAGTGATATTTTCTCTTAGGAAATCATGATCATCTCTCAGGAAATTGACAGTTATTCAGAAGAATCTCTGCAATTATACATTTGTTTGCTAGATCTTTAGGATGACAATAAGCACTTAGTGAAAAAAATGTTTTATGTTATTTATAGGATTCTCATAATTCCAAGGGAACCAAGATATTTCACTATATATTTATTCCCTAAAAATGTATAAAAAATTAACATTTTAGGTAAAGGTTGCAAAAGTTCCAAATTTGGAAAGGTTGCAAAAGTTTCAAATGTAGGGTAATTTGCTTAACCTCTTACAGTTGTAAGTTCTTACTCTTCAGTTTTTGTGATCTTAAAAAACACAGCTCTTTGAAAGTTAAGAAAAAAGGTATTTAAAAAATTAAACCCTGTTATCTTTTTCCATCTTGCATAATACCTTGAAGTATTTTTTAATGGAGAAGGTATATAAGACAATAATTTTTAACTCATTTAAAAATACTATTGAGTTTCTTGAGATATTAAAAAAAAAATCTAAAAAAATAAGGTAAAATTAATCGACTTAAATATTTTTTCTTCACAACCTTTTCTCTTGGTCTTTTATCATTCCATTTACTTTTTTAAATTGTTAAAGGCATTTGATATATTTACCACCCCCCCTCCCCCGGCATGTAAATCTCAGCTTCATGTCAAATTAGGATTTGTGGAAATAGAATATTCTACAAACAGTATAAGTCACATGAAGTTTGCTTTAATATATTAAAAACAATGCATGTTCTGAATAGCCACAGCATTTCATTTGTGACATGTACAAGGAAAGGTCTCCTGCTTGCCAGTCAGGTATATTCAAGCTCCTGCACTCTCCTCTCTTTCCCTATCTCTTTGTTCTTTTCTATTCTCAGGCTCTTCCCTGTTCTTCCTTCTAATGTAATAGTTCCCCTAATGTCTTTTATACTCTTATTATATTATATTCTCTACTTTATAATCAGAATCACTCTCAAAACTATAATATCTCCACTAATATTCTTTTTTTTTTGTAATTACTTTTTATAGAATAAATACAAAGAGGGGAATATGTGAATATTGTGGCATTCTCTAAAATAAAATTAACAACTGATCTAGGGCCTCCCTCATGGAACAGGGTCTCCACTAATATTCTTAAAGTGAATTACCATTATATGTTGTCACCTGTTATAACACTGAAGGTACACATCTTTTATTTATTTGTTTGTTTGTTTATTTATTTGTTGTTTGTTTGTTTATTTATTTATTGTTTGTTTGTTTATTTATACAAGCACTGGGTACAGTCGGAAGCCCGGGAGGGTGAGAGAATTCACCAGAGTCAGAGCAGGGAGCAGAGCAGGCAGAAGACCGAAGTACACTGCTGAGGGGAGCAGCAGGCGGCAGGAGAGGTCTGCGCGCCATGTGGGACCCTCCTCCGGTGGCCGGGGAGCAGCCGGGGATCGAACCGGCGCTGCAGAGGCTGCGGGCAGCTTCGCAACCCAGCGCTCAACTGCTGCGCCTCCGGGGAGGCCCGGTACATATCTTTTAATGGGTGATCTAGCTCGCCTTCAAATTCTAATCTAATTAAAGATTATAGTCCACTGTCAAGGAAATATTAGCTATTAATTTAAATTTATATAATGACCATAAACAGATAATTCTTCATATTATTAAAAAATACTCTTTATCATTACTATTGGTACTTCTAACTCACTTGACATCTTTATTTAACTTGTACAACTTTTACTGTATGAAGTATAAAAACTTGGCAACATATTTATCAATACATGAGTACAATCTGAAAGTATGGCTTTATAATAAAACAAAAATGGGGGCCTCCCTGGTGGCCCAGGCGGTTGAGCGCAGCACTGCAAAGCTGTCCGCAGCCCCTGCAGAGGTGGTTTGATCCCCGCAGGCCTTGGAGCAACCCACATGCGAGCAGACCTCTCCTGTCTCGCTGCTGCTCCCTTCAGCAGTGTATTTCGTCAGTCTGCCTGTTCTGTTCCCCACTCTATCTCCTCTCACCCTCCCGCGCATCTGGCTTATACTCTGGCTCTTGTGCAAATAAAATAAATCTTAAAAAAAAAAAATTAAAACAAAAATGGAAAAAAGCTAACTAAGGACATTTATGCATTTCTCATTAGGTTCATTTATTTGTATTGTATATATTAGGTAATTTTAACTCTTTCTTAATTTTTTTTATTTTATTATATATATATTTTTACATCATTTTCATTTTTGCACAATGTATGCATTTTCATCTTGGTTATATTCCCCATTCAATTCCCACCCTCTTATTTTGACCCTACTCCCTCTTTCTCCCTTTCCCTCCCCGTAGTGTGTCTCTGGTTTATAGTTGCCTGTTGATTTTGATTTTTACTTTATTATAATTAGTCTTTTTCCTGGTTCCTTATGTAGGTTTTCTAAATTCCTGCTATGAGTGAGACCATCCAGTATTTTTCTTTTTCTTTCTGGCTTATTTCACTGAGCATGATCCCTTCCAGTTCCATCCATGTTGCTGCAAATTGTATGAGTTTATTTTTTTTTATTGCTGAGTAATATTCCATTGTTTTTTATTGATATTTTTACTTTAATATAATTTATTTGACATTTCTGTCAGTGAATTGATTCCTTTACTGACATACTTAAGGAAGGCAATCTTAGAAAAACCTTAAGAGAAATAAATGGAATAATATCCCATATATCATATTTTTAAAACATGGCTATTTTCATGCTTGATATAATAAATGCTATTCTGAAAATTATCCACCCAGCAGATAATTCTTTGATTTTTTATACATATTTCTAGATTGTATCAGGACAGTAAACACTCTTTTTTGAAAAAAACAATATGGAGCCTAAATGTTTCTTTACCAAAGACGACTACTCCCTTCCCTTATGAGACTTCCTCTTATTTCATTATACTGTGTTATAAAATGATGCTGTAGTATATACACTGTTGAATTAGATATCAGTTGTTTTCTAACTCATAAAACAAAAATAACCAAGTTTCTAAATTAAAATTTTTATTATTTATATCTATGAAATCCTAAATGAAAATATACTTTCTTTCCATAGTCTCTTGCAAATACATTGGCATTTTTTATTGAAACATACCCTAAACATCTTATATCCATATATCGTAAACACACAGAAAAACCTACTGACATAGTTGGACTCTGTCCAACGAACAGGTGAGACCTATTCCGAGAGAAAACTAGACATGTGTGGAGGCTATGGCCACTAGAAGAAGAGTCTTCTGAGACTCTTGAGACGAAATTCTGTTATTGAGTTCAGAAAAACCTGGCTAAAAATAATATAACTCATATATACCACAATTAGTTAAATGCTCTAAAATAAAAAAAATTGGTGGGGGCCTTGCTAGTGTCATAAGGGTTAAGTCTCAGAACTATGAAGCAATCTGTAGCCACTATAGTATGAGTTCGAGTCCTGGCCAGTGAGCCAACCCACATGGCACAGCCAACCTCTCCTGTCTAAACCTCTGCTCCCCTCTGCAGTGTATTTCAGTTAATCTGTCTGTTCTGTGCCCCACTCTGTTCTTGTGAATACTCTCACCCTCCCTGCACCTCTGGCCTACACCCAAGCTCTTGTATACATAAATAAAGAAATCTTTAAAAAATATAAAAACATAAAAAAAGATGATAATGATTTGAAGCATTTTAATTAAATTAATAATTAGTTTCCATTATACAGAAATAATTGTTTGAGAGTTCAGTACCCACTGTTCTTAGGTATGTTCTATGTATTGATTTAAAAAATAATCATTGGTTTTATTTTTGAATGCTTTTTTTTCTTTTTCTTCTCTTTTCTTTCTTTTTTTTTTTTTTTTTTTTCCAGATGACACGAGAACAATATATACTGGCAACACAACAGAATAACCTGCCAAGGGCTGAGAATGCACAACTTTACCCAGTGGGAATTTATGGATGGCGAAAGAGGTGCTTATACTTCTTTGTCCTTCTGCTGTTGGTTACCATGATTGTTAACTTAGCCATGACAATATGGATATTGAAAGTTATGAATTTCACTGTGGTAAGTACTGCTATGATTTTACATTTATTGCTTTGGTTCAGAGATAATATAGCTATGTTATTTTTATTTTTCTAGTTGAAATTATCCACCTCAAATGTTGCAAGTATGCTTTTAAACTCAGGGCTGTCATCTTTTAAGACTGATTTCAACGTATTTATTCTTAGCATATATATGATATTGCTACCTGTTATCTACATGTGAGAAATTTTGATCAGGGACAGCATAGCCCATTGATTCATTAGAAAATCAGAAAACATTTAAACAATAAGAACAAACTATTGCTTCTTATATATGCCAAGCAGAAATGAGTTTATTTTTACAGATGACATTTAATATTAGAATTCATTTTAGAAATTTAAAATTCCTTTAAAATATTTAGTATAAAGAACATTTAACTCTATAGCCCTCTATATATGTTTAATATATAACATACTGCATAATCAACTCTAAATCCTGAAATTTCTCCTGAGCTGTATGCATGAACCAATATCGGGTAATTGTTAGCAGGAGGTGATCTCATTATTTCAGAGCATAAATGAAGCAAATAGACATAAATCAGAAATTATATTCTTCTTTTTTGAAGATGAATAATAGCAAAATTGTTATGTAATTCATGAAATCATTTTACTGCAGTTGATTGACTATATAAAATGAACCTAGAGCATGGCTTATCTGGGAGAGACTAGCTACTTTTAGCAAAGTCTAATTTAACTCATGTTATGTTTTCTGGCAAAATTCTTAAATTTCTCTACCCTGCCCTAAATCTCTGTGGCCTTTGCGTACAGATCTAAGATGTCATCCTATCCAAGCAGGTATCTTTCCCTTGCTGACAAGATTGTTATTATCCTTTAGAAATCTGCATCCTCACAGACCAGTGTAATGCTATCTAAAAACACTGATCTTCTTACAGTGGATGGCATTTTTTTTTTAACTCTGCTGCATATTGGGTTAGCAAGACAAGTGTCTTTCTGACCTCACTGATACCTAATTCTAAGTTGAAACAGAATCTCAGAAGGGAAAATGAGCCCAGCATCTGTTCACAGAGTAGAACACCACAGATTTGTGCAGGAGTCTGGGACGGCAGGTACCATAACCTTCCAGAGAGGAAAGCTATAACAGTGCAGAGCATGATAAAATAGCATATGCTCATGGAGATAAATGAGCTGAGCAAGGGCTCCATTTTTTTTTAATACAGTACAAAATTTGAAGGATATTCATGATAAAAAGAACTAAAAACAAAGAAAGGACAGGCAGAACTCACTATGGTCCATGATTAGAGGAACTAATAGCATCCTAGAGATGGATAAGTGTGCAGAGCCAGATTAAGTCCTTTGAGACTGTGGGTGATTTGAAGTGGAGTTGAGGGATAGAAAGAAAATTAATGCTTTGTGCTTTGTGCTACTATGGTAATGCCTTTGAACCATTCCTTTGTCCCAAGAGTTGCCTCAGTACTTCTCTCCCCACCTCCCAATCTCATTTGAGAATATTTTGGCGCAAATGTCATTAACTCTACCCACAGACTTTCTGTTCTTCCGAGTTCTGTCCTACCTTCTCTGAGTAGTTTCAGAGCTTCATTAAAGATCAGTTTCTCACATAGTAAGTCAATATGTATGTCCTTTTGAATCTCTTATGCTGTGCTGTTCTATCAGACAAATATATAGATTCTCACTGCAACTTTTCAACCTCATTTTTCTTAACTTGAAAAAAAAATAATTAAGGAAGTAAAGAATGGAATTTTCTCCAGGTTTTACAATCTAAAGCATTCAATTTCCTCTATCAAAAGGTGTCCATCAAAATATTCTGAAAGATGTGACCAATTTGGCCAATTCAGTGACTTTTGATTCTATCCAATGACCAGGCCACAAAAGTTTTCAGATTCAAGCCATGTAAACTTCTCAAGCATATTTAAATTAATTAAGAAAATACACCCTAATGCATAATTACATGGCTGCATGCATCAGGCTCCCAATACCTTGCTGCATGCTGAGGCCAAGGTTGGATAAGCCATTCAAGGGAAATAATTAAAACAATCACCTTTGTCCTCAGGTTCCACACAAGCCCCTGGGTTTCTGTCACCTATGGAGCTATCTAATTTGAACCTCAGCTGGTCAAAATGTAAATGTCAACATATTCTTGGGGATAATGAAAAGAAGGCTATTTCCATAGGAGCCAAGCTGTTTATTTTTTATTTTGAGCATATATTTCTATTTTTTTCTAACACATTTTCAGTTTTTTATAATCAAAAAAGAAGTGTGTTTTTCCTTCAGTCATTTAATTATTTGTGTGGAGGTAAAACTAATGGAAAGATAAAGTTGTAATTATCTTAGGCATATACTCTTTGTAAGAGAACACAATCTCTATCTCAATGCAGTAACTTTAGCTCCTGAATACTACACGTCAGATTAAGTTGTATGTACTTGAAAGAGTATAAAATAATTTGTAATCCTCTTACATTAGAGCAGTAAAAAATCAATTTTATGTTTCACTACTACATTATGATTATATTATATCTAGAGTGAACCAAAACCCATTTTTAGCCAAACTATAGTAAGAAGTAGTAAATGATGTGTAAATTGTTTGGTGAGTATTATTGATCTGTACAAAATGTATTTCACTTTCATTATAACTGTTGCCATCCAATACATAAAAATATGTGGCTGTCAAGATCTTTTATTTGAGCAAACCAGGCATGTTATTATTGTCAAAATATTGTGTTTTCAGCACAGCAAGGTTGATTGCCAACCTGTTTTATGATACTTCTTAGAGTCCATCATTATCTGTATGGTTGATATGACCTTATTCTGTTTCTTATTCTGTGGAAAATAAATTTACCTGCTATTAAGATACCCTGTTGCAGGGAATCAAGAAAAAGGAAATGAGTTTATACTACAGGGTGAATGACTTAGAATAGATACAAACAGTAATTTCCTGGTTCTGAGAGTTGATAAGTATAGGAATGAGTTGAGAAGAGATATTGAAAGTTCATTCTTCCAAGATCAATATAACCCAATTACATATTTTTGTTGGTATATTGCTGTTGCTTGGTTCATTTAATATCTTTGTGGTTCAATATAAATATCTAGTAGATTTATCAAACCCAGGCATTGTGCTGAGGCAATATTCTTTGCTTGTTTGAAGTACTAATTCTATGTAAATTAGTTCTATAATTGAAATTTAATATAATAAAGTAGCCATTTTAACCACAAGAGTTCTAAGTAAAAATTGGTAGCATCCAGCTTAATATTAGTAGATATGTTGACAAGTTTGCAAAAGAAAAAATGGAAACGTAAGTGCCATGTATTAAGCAAAGTATTAAAACAATTATGTTGTGGCTGAGAAATCAAGAATACCCACATGTGTATAATAATTGAAGCAATTGATTAATTGAACAAATTGGAAAATAAAATTCCTAGAGAAGTGTATGATTAGTGGCATGGATGTTTATTGAAAGGCAGTAGCACAAGAAGTAGGATTGAATATTATAGTGTTTTAGCATTGAAAAGGAACTGGAGAATTTTTAATTCAGCCATCCACATATTGCAAGTGGTCAAACCACAATATTTCCTCCATTTTCTCACTGGATATCTCCTTAAACCCTCCTCAGGATGACAGATAAACCATTCCATCCAATCACTGGATAGTTTTATTGTAATATTTTGTAGCAGTTTTCCTTTATTGAACTTTAAACATGAGATTCTAGTTCTGGTCTTTCAATCCAAAATGATTTACTAATTAAGTCCAGATTATGTTATAATATACATATATACACCTATACATGCATGTATGGGTGTATATACACATACATTGCTTACATGAATATACATATGCAAGCAATGGATATATATTTTCAAAGGTGATGATTTTTTTAATATCTAAAAATCAGAATATATTAGAGATTCTTATGCAGTCATTTTGGTTTCTTTAGCTGCCTCTGTCATTCTTCATTTAAGATATTATATAACATGCTTACAAAACTATGAATTATTTTGAGAGAGCTTACTGTTTACAGCTATGGACCATACAGTTATTGATGCATTTCACCATATTTTCTTTTCCTTTAGGATATGATTTTAAAGTTGAGTGTACACATATTACTGTATTCAGTCTTCAGCTTTCTAACTTTCTTAAAATCATATTTTTAAGTTAATTTTTTGTGGGATGTGATTTAACATGTTTTCTAAGTTTTAAAACCTGTGTTCTTTCAATATCTTTGTAAATGTGATATCATATTTCCCATCCCATTCTTATAATTATTTAGTTTTTTTTAATCTTCATCATTAACTCAGTGACATATTATAAAGTCACTATTGATCTACTTAAAATGTATAAAGTGTATTTGCTATCATTTGTTAACAAGTTCATCCTAAAACTTTGTTAGTCTTTAATAGTCCTGTTATTTAGAATGAACTTTTCTTGTATTCAGTCAGTTTTTCTATTGATCAAAACTTTGTCACCCCAAATGCACCTTCATTCTTACCCCAAATCAATAGATATGTATAAACATGTGAGGCTTAACTATGAAATAATCATGTTTAATTCATTCTCCACCTTAGCATGTTCATCACAAAATAGTTTATCTATATATGGCCTTGCTTATAATATGTTTCCCTTCTCACAGAATGAATTTAAGCTCCACAAAGCAGAGAGTTTTTGTCACTTTTTCTACCACTGTAGTCCCAAGGCAGGGAACAGTGCCTGCCATATAATTAGCCCTCGATAAGTACTAGAATATCCTTCTTTGACATTACCTACAATAAAAAACAGTTGTAATTTAGCCTCTTCTAATTATTGAAGTTTACTAGGAAGAATTAATGGAAAGACTGCCAGTTATTCCAGATCCCTCTGTTGTTATTAAGGCCTCATAGACACAGGAGATAGTCCCTGACCTATGAAGTTGTATTTATTAGTATCTACATTGAAAATGAAGGTTTATGTTCTAAAAACCAAGTTTAATAGTCCCCATTAACAGTATTTAATAAGTTACACATTCTAGGGAGATA